GTTGCCAAAAACAAAAATATAAAAATTAAATGAGATTTGTCGCCCATGTACGATAAACCTTATGCAACCAATAAGGTTTTATTGATTAGACAACTTGTGAATACAAAGACAGATGAAGGAGGATATGTGAGAAACCACGACAGCAAGTTCAATTCAATAAATATCAAGATATGTTGATATTGGTTTTGATGACGAAGTCTAGTCACTTTGTTATTATCATCACTATCGGAAAGCGTGTATGGAATAGTCACAATTGTTAGTAGTTCATTTGGAACTACATAACTTATCTTTGAAGGCATTTAGGATTTAATCATTGGGAAGACATCCGAAGAAATAATGCAAATGAGTGCTTTGGCAGTATGCTTAGTACCAAAGAGAGGGGATGAAATCGAATAGGGGTGGAAATGAAGAGGTCTTTCGAAGTGAAAAATGATTAATTTAGCTTTGAAGAAAAGAATTAAGGAAAAAGAATAGGGTTAATTTAGCTTTGATACCATGTAATATGTATTTTTCCGTGGCCATCCTTCTCTCATTGAGTCATTGATTGACAATTTATAAGAATAATACAACAAAGATTGCACCATGAATAAACCCATGGGCCGGAAAATACATAACATGTACAATACTAATTAATAATAATTATATACTAACAATTGACAATAATGTATGTTTGCATCGAATAGTTGCACCAAATGGTAAGGTTGTCACACACGAGATTCACAACGTTTTAGAGTGTTATATAAACATTGAAGGAAACAATGCTTTCTTATGTGCCATGATCATCACATGTGTTTTATCAATGTAGGTTAAATTATATTTTCAATTGATAATTGAATGATCAATTGGATCGTTGTGTTATGAACGACGTCATTATTGTCTTCCACCCATAAAACCAATATTTATAAAATCCCAATAGTTATAAGTTGTGTTTTTGGTGTATCATTAATTATAAAGTACATTTCAGATTGATTTCGGACCAACATTCCGGATTTCAAAAAAAAAAAACTCTGGAATTTCAAAAACAAATCCAAAATTCGATGAATAATACCGATTGTGAGAATTTCTTTTTGTTTTTTTTTAACTTAAAACTAACAAAAAGTTAAATAGGCATAGTAATGCGAAATATATACGATATTAGTGCATAAAATTAGACATTTTATTGAAAAACGGTGACATTAAACATTTCGAAATGTAACATTCGGAATCCCAAACAAAAATAAAAAGATTTCTTTGAAAAAAAAAACAAAAAGAAGCCTCTAGATTGTGAATAGTACTCCGGAAAATGATTATTTTTCAAAAAGTGAAAAAATATGGTTATTTTCTTTGAAAAACTCATTTATAATGGTTAGATTACTTAATTTTCTTATAAAATTTATCAAAAACATCAAATGGTTTCTAGCTCAATAGTATTAAGTGTTGCTCAATTGCACTCCTCTTTGTGGTCAAGAGTTTAAGTACCGTTTCGGACATAAATGAAATTAAAAATGAAATTAAAGTATTTTAAAATTATATTAGATTTGTTGTTACAAAATAAAAAATATATAAAAAACACACTTGTTACATATGTCAAAATTATTTACAACTTTATATTGCAACAATAAGTTTGCAGTTGATTGGGGATATCATCTAATCACATTGGATGAAAGATAACATACATTAGAAGAAGCCTATCAGTGTTTTAAATAGGAAATAACTGGAAGACACTTGTATTTCCTATGTCTCACCAATTCTAGCAAGTGGCCTCTTGGCCACACAAAAGATGCCCGAATCATGTTTGTGACACTAAAAGATGTAGTGATCAACCTCAGTGTGAAAGTTATTCCTTTGAAATGCAACTTATATATATGCTTCATGGTGTCCACATATATATGATATTGCTTTTATTTCCAAGGTCAAAATAACTAATCACGTTTTATTAGCATTATATATATAAAACAATCACGTGTTACCAATGACTTTATGGATATTGGTTATATATATTCGGTGTAAGATTTAATTGTTAGTTTTGTTAAACGTTGTGATGAATTGCATATAAAAGGAAGGTGTGTAAAAAGGCATACCCATTCAAGTTAATTGTATCAAGAGTTATGCATTTGTAAGTGTTTAGGACATTAAGCTAGTCGTTTGTTTTGTTTATACGTTTCACTTAACATAACATACTAGATTTCGACTATGCTCAAAATGAAGGTAAATATGAAAGTATGACTTTTGGATATCTTTATGATGAAATTATAATATGTAAAAAACAATGGAAATAAAAAAAACAACGATGTTAAAATATGAAAGTATATTTACTGGTTTAGATTATACACTGCAATTTATTTATATTTTACCTCTACAGCAAAGCCATCAAACCTTCGTGGGAGCCTTGACTCTTTACTTAGACTTCCTATTAGAGCATCCATTATAAAAACCTTTTTTTTTTTTTTTTTTTTTTATAACTAAAAGGCTCTAAAAATAAAAAGCCTAATAAATAAGCTTTTTAAAAGTAAAACATTTTTAAGGATAATTAACAAGTTCTTTCATTCCTTTGAGCTTTTTCAACGATATAGTGGATCTATAGTTTTTTAACCAGTCACAAATACACGGATATTCAAACAAAACATAAACAATTAAATTGAAAAAACTTCCCTATCATGGGGATTTTCATTTTAAGTTTTTTAGTGAAAAAGCTTCACAAAAAACTCTCATATATAATACAAAGGTGATCTCCAAGTACTAACTCATTTGTAACAACAATACAATCATCAAGTGAATTTTTCACTGGAAATTTTGTTTTATCATAAGATGCTTCCGATGCTCTTGTCTCATAAATAAGTAACTCCATTCTCATCAATTTATAGAGACGTATGACTTTTTATCATTCGATGACACCAATATCAACATCAAAATATTTAGACAATCATCTAATCCAACAACTATTTTTTTGAAATTTTTTACTTCATTTTGAACAAAAAAATATCTTTATAAAACTTAACATTGCTTGAGAAAAAAATAGAGTTATTTTTAAGGGTCAAAACTTTATAAGCGTTATTTACATTTAAAACCCCAATTAAAACATATTTTCATATCATTGTATGTGCAAATGATCTTAATATTTTTTATTAAACTGCGTTTTAGCAATATTAAAAGGAGATTATACAGTCAAAAACTTATTCTTTAGACTTTAATAGCTAAACCCAAACGACTCTAGTGTAGTCAGTAGTAACAACAGTAAGAAAGGATATGGATCCATAATAAGTAGTCACCAAGGATCTCATACATCTAAATAAACAAGGAACATTCTTATTACCTAATTTTGGAATTTTCTTTAAAAATCTTAAAACTATATTAGAGAGGTGAACCCTCGACCTCAAAGAATGAGGACACCACTTGATACTGTTAGACTAGAAGCTATATGGTAAGATTAGTTACACATTTATTTAATAAGATGGAATTCAAATAATATATCCCATATAATTATTATCACTCCTCACAATCAGATTTTACTACAAATTCTGAAAATATACTTCATTTTTTTTTTTTGCTAAACATTTATTGTCCGTAACTTATTTGTAAACTAAAATAAGATGGATTCCGAAATTAGGAACTATTAATACACCTTATAAAGTGAGATAACATGACAATTACAAATTTTTAATTTTTATAATTTGTGCAAAAGTTTCAATTGGGCTATCGACCCTTAAACAAAGACTAGAACCTCAACTATATTTGAAAGAGCTTTATCAGAAATTGTCATGTGTTGGTTCGCTGAACAACCCTCTTATCAAAGATTCTAAAATGATGAAAGTTGAGATTAACCATATTAACATAAAAACAACTCTTACTTGTGAGTTTAGCGGATGCATCTTCTAGTCTATATTTTTCATTTATTAAATTCAGAAAGTTTGCAATTTGATCATTTGAGAATGCAAACTTGGTAAATAAATCAGATTGAGATGCATCAAGAACTTCAAGTACAAAGTTGTTCAGTACACTAAGGCCTAATTTATCATAGAATTTTATAAAATAAAACAAAATTCAAATTCAGCACAACAAGTGTTAACAAAAAAACTCATTAACATATTAGAGTACCTCACAAACCCTAATTTCAAAGGAGCTTCAAAATTTTTAGAATGATTTGGAAGAAGGATGAATCATCATAGATCTAACGATTTAAAACGTTTTCGATCACAACCTCATGAGAACAATTAGATTCTAGCTAACACGGGGTTAAGAATTTATAATCTGTAACTAAGCCGTCTATATGATACCATGTGAGTTTTCTAAACCTCTTTTGATTCAAACACAGATTACATTTAACTAAGAAGAAATGAGTTTATAACTCTTGAGTTACTTTTACAGCATACACATTTATAAAGTATAGATGAAGAACAATAGTTAACTAATTAAGAACAACAAGAGGTAACTTCACAACAATCATCTAATCAAAAATCCAAAAACAAAAACCTTAATGCTTAGTGTTAACATTCCGTTTATCTATATCGTTATAAATACGTTTTCTTCCTTTATATCATTATAAAGTACATTTTATATTACTTAATAATCCGTATAAATTCGACTATATCATTGAAATTGTCTAATTTTTATCTATATGGTGAAATATTTTTGTCACAATCGGATATATATATATCAAACTAAGACATAATGTTGGTCTCAGAATTTGTTTTTATATATATCGCTATTAATTATTATTATTTTTATTTATATTGTTATAGAATTACTTTTTTAATACATTGTACTCCTGGAATTGTTAATTTTGAACGTTGAAACCCTAGTTATTTACAATTTTACATGGGCCGGGCTAAACAGTTGCTGGTCGTCTTTTCCAGCCCATAACAAGATATTTTCATGTTCACATGTTTCCAGCTAAAGCGAAAGGAAAAGCGTGTTTCCATTATGTTTCCGTTATATTGAAGCGTCTGTTAGTTCAAAAAGTTAGGACAAACCTTTAACTTATCACACAGAGCGCCACGTGTCCACGCAAATCGGATCTAAAAATGATCCGACAAGATCCAAAATCCGCCCCAAAACAACTCTCAGCCCGTATATTGATTTCCCTTCCTCCTTCCTACGTGTCATTCGACGTGTCTGATTACATGGCACCTTCGTGGCCCTTGATACATCCACGTAATCACAACGAATATAATATCTTCCTCCACAAAATCTCGATGAACCAGTAGATACGAAACCCCCTTTACTCTTTCTGATAACCTAACAAACCCTATATATAAATCTCCATTCCGGCTGATTTCTTTAACTTCAAACTTGTGTCATCGATAAATCAAACCAAAATATTATCAGATTTGCTGTAACGTTTTGGTGTTCAACGCAAAATTTGACCGAATTTTGAGGATTTGAGCTTTGAGTCAAAGCCCTGTCCTCTGTTTCTCCTGTAACCACGGTAATGTTATTATTCTTAACACCCCGATCCCGAGTTCACTTAACGAAAGAAAGGAAAAGAAGTGGGTGGAAATGAGAAGAAAATAAAAGAAATTGGTGGAAGTGGAAGGAAGTGAAAGGAAATGGGAGGATCACTTTCCCTCCTAACTTTCCTTCCGATTTGGAAGGATTTGGAAAGAAAGAACAAAATGATTCATTTTACAAAAGAAAATTATGTTTTCCTTTCCTTTCTCTTCTTTTCTCTAGTTAAACTCGGGAACGATGAGTAAGTGACAGTCAAACTGAAATGTTGTGGAAGCATAATATGATTCATTTGGTTTGTTTTTTACTTAATTTTTCGTTAATTGTTGAGTAAATTGGTCCAGGGAAGATCTGAGAAGTTTTCTATTTTTCTGTAGATTGAAATTTGTATGTAGCTACTTTTAATTCTGGTTGTTTTAGACGTTCATGATGGATTTTGTATGAATCTGAGTCTAGTGGCTTGTTGTAAAAAAGGGAAATTATAGAAATATGTATGAACCTAATTACAGCTTGTTGTTTGATCTAAACTGTTTCCTTTTAACTACCGTGAATCATTTTACCTTGATCGGTTCATATTTTCTGATTCTCTCATCCGATTTATACAGAGGATTATTTGAAGATATCTTTCAAAACGTTCATCACTTGGAGACAACGTTATGTGCCACTTTTCAAACAAGAAGCAATTTGTGTTAATTTCTCAAACCAACGCCTTGTTCACCGACAGTCTGTTTGAATTCTGTTGATGAGGAGTATTACAGTGAACACCAATGTTCCGGCAACTAAAGGGTTGGCGGAGCTCAACCACCACCACCGGGACGAGCTCAAGCAAGTCAGAAATGGAGCGGGGTTTGATGGTCAAGGTCTCTCTGAAGAAGACGAGTCAAGGATTAACGAAGATGTGAATAGTGGTCGCCAGAACCAGAAAAACCTGGTTCACGTTCATCCCCCCCACGATGCTCTCCATAGACAACATCAACAACATCAAGGCTCCATGGTTGAATGGGAGAGGTTTCTTCCTCTTAGATCTCTCAAAGTTCTTCTGGTTGAAAACGATGATTCAACTCGTCATGTTGTCAGTGCTCTCCTCCGTAATTGCAGCTATGAAGGTTTTTTACTTTTCATATGTCAATAAATGCTTCTGGTACGTATACGTATATGCCTATTGCCTAGTATTGTTTACTCTCGATACTCTGATGATTGATGGTGTAAGTAAACTGAGGCTATGAAGGTTTATAACTGATTCTTTTTATTAATTTATTGACGAAATTTAATTACTTTGTTGCAGTTACGGCTGTAGCAAATGGTGTAGAAGCATGGAAAGTTTTGATTGATCAAAACAAACAAATCGATATTGTTTTAACGGAGGTTTTAATGCCATATTTATCGGGTATTGGTCTTTTATCCAAGATCATGAACCATGTGACTCGCAAGAATGTCCCAGTGATAAGTGAGTATATATCTTTGTTCTTCTCTCGTGTATTCTTACAACTTATTAAGTTTTAACAAATTAAATCCTTATTATGTGGTTAGATTTGTACTTAATGAGTTTTACGTGCAGTGATGTCATCCGATGACTCAATGGGTATAGTCTTTAATTGTTTATCCAAAGGTGCTGTTGACTTTTTAGTCAAGCCTATTCGAAAGAATGAGCTAAAAAACCTCTGGCAGCATGTGTGGAGGAAATGTCACAGTGTGAGTTAATTTAGTGTTATATGTTATGGTTTCATGTATGATCTATCTTCATGACTAAAAATGGAAACAAGTTTTGGACTTCGGCTTCAGGTGTGTTCTGATTTCGTATGTTACTTATTGTGGGGTGGAGTGTACTGGATTTGAGCTAGCTACTACGTACTTAACTTCTCCAATATGCTCATCTGTCCATGTCAAAAATTATATTTTTATCAAAATTCACCATTAATCGATCTAAAAATCTTTCTGTTCTTTTGCTTAAATTTCTCATTATTTCATCAGTCTAGCGGTAGTGGGAGTGAGAGTGGTATTCGGACTCGTAAATCTTCTGCAAAATCAATAACCAACAACAAACACTCAGATGATAATGATGATGAGGATGATAGTCATACTAGTGATGATGACGTAAGCATGGATCTAACTGCCAAGGGTGGCAGCGATAATGGAAGTGGAACTCAGGTAAATTTTCACTTCCTTGCATGAAAAAACATTCAATTTTTTTAAAATGATTTTACTTATCACTTAATTTACATTCATCTTATTTAGAGTTCATGGTCAAAGAGGGCTGTAGAAGTTAATAGCTCCCAAGCGCAATCCGTGTGGGACAAACTACAAGATCCACGTGTCAGAAAAGAACATGTCACCCAGGAAGATAAATTAGGTTCTTAATTTTAGCAAATTTCATCTTCATTGTCTTTTTCGTCATCCTGTTCATATAATAATATTATTGCCATAAATGTTTGATCTTCTTATAGAAACTGTTGAAATGGGGAAAGACTTGGAAATCGGAGTCCCTAACAGTTCAAGTTTCGAGGTTGAAGATGCAAAGAAAAAGTCAATGAACAAGTTTTCCGGGTCAAATTTGAAAAAAGTGAGCGATGATTTGGATATTAGTATGAAAATTGGTTGCGAAAATGGTCCCACCAAGACGACGATGACGAATGTTCAAAATGAAGCTTCACCAAAAGCAACCCAACTGCTCAAGAACATTAATATTGAAAATAATAATACTAATATTAATATTAATAATAATAATAAATCTGTTTATTATTCAAAAGAATCGCCTACCCTGGAGCTGAGTTTAAAGAGGCCAAGAGACGTGGAAGATGCCGATGCCGATGACCGGAATGTGTTACGCCATTCCGGTGTTTCAGCTTTCTCAAGGTACAACACCAACACTGTATCGAACGTTAATCAAGCGCAAACTGGAATCGTAGGCAGCTGTTCGCCATTAGGTATCAGCTCAGAAGCAATAAACGCCGATAACATAAATTCCAACTCAAACGGAAACCGTAATCAGCCGTCGAATGGGAGCGACGATATGGGGTCCACCACCAATACCGCTTTCCCAACAAAACCGGATGACAAACCGGTTCCAAACGCAAACGGTTCAACCATCCAAGCGGTTCACCTAACTTCCACCACCAACCTTCAACCTCTCGAGCCCTGTACTGACGATGATAACGCAAAGGCCGAGCAGCAGGTTCAAGTCCGTCACCACCACCACCACTACCACCACCACCACCACCACGTCCATAAACTTCAGCAACAGAAAATGGTGGATCCCGACATGGTTTCGAATATTTTGACGGCGTCGGCTGAAGGAAACGCGGCTAATTTTGGTAGTGCCTCTGGAAGCAATAATAATGATAATAATAATAATAATAATAAGAGTAGTGGAGAAATGGAAAAGGGCGGGGGTTGGCAGCAAGGAAAAACCGCTGCTCCGGTTGTTGATAATGGAGTCGCCGGAAAATGTAACGGCGGTGATGGAAGCGGAAGTGGAAGTGGTAGTGGACGAGGGAGCGGGGTGGATCAAGACCGGTTAGCTGCCCTGAATAAATTCCGTCAGAAGAGGAAAGAAAGATGCTTCGAGAAAAAGGTAATTGTAATTTGTTTTCTTTTAGTGACACGTGTCATCCATTTTCATTTGAATTTAAAATTATTGAACACATTCTTCATCAGGTGAGATACCAAAGCAGAAAGAGGTTGGCAGAACAGAGGCCACGTGTCCGTGGACAATTTGTTCGACATGGTGCTAACGGCGTTAACAATGAGGATGCTGATTCGTAACGGTTGTCAAGTCGGTGTTTGTTGTTTTTCTATATGAAATAATAAGTAGATGAAAAGGTTAACTGTTGTTGTTGGAGGGGGTAGATATGAAGTTATGAACAGTACATTTGAAGATGGGATACATGGGACACAATGAAGAATTAGAAGGATGAAATTTGACTGAGTCTTCGACGAGGATATATTATAGTCCCATGTTTCTCTAGGAGGAAGCATTTTTTTTTTTAATAAATCCGAGGGTTCTTGATTATGTTTGATCTTGAACTCATGGCCAAATAATGTTTGGTTATTGTTGTCGCTTTGATGTTCTTGAACTATTGTCCAAGATTATCTTTTTATTTGAGCAAGGTTTTTTATCATCTCACTAAAAGCTTTTTAGATTTCATTTTTAACGTCTTCAATTATGTAGTTAGGAGCGGTTTGATAGCCTTTGGATAATTCAGGGGCACCGAATGAATGTATTTGAATAAAAACATATTGTTTGGTAAAATATTGTTGCATGATAACAATTACCATTTTAATCTTCTGAATTAAGTTTAGGTCTTTATTGCTTAAACTCAAACTCAAACAATAGCTAATCAAAAAACAATTTCACCATCCTACATGTAAAATTGTTATTCGTCCATTTATAACAAGTTAATCACCCTCTTCGATTTCTAGCAACAATTTATATAAATTCCATTTACTTTAAAAATGAATGGAAAAGCAAAAATAATCGACATAAGCTACATAGTTTGCTTTGACAGAGGAAGGAGCTCCATGATCAACAACATGAATTTGTCTGCCTTCTCTTTCTAATTACATCTTCACCGCATTAAACCCTAAACCCCTCACACGAACAACATGAGTTTGGTAAAAGGTTATATATATATATATATATATATATATATATATATATATATATATATATATATATATATATATATATATATATATATATATATATATATTCAGTGGAACATCATCAACAACTACCCGAAATTCAAATTTCACACAAACACATACCCGCACATATATAGACATAGAAATCAACACACATACCTATTGTTGATGAAGACATGAATCGCAATTGCAGATGAAGACACAAATTCATACAAACACATACAGACGCAATCGATGTGGAGCGTCAATGGTGAAACTTCATTTAGAATGATGGGGTAGCTTAGCTACCATGAGAGGAGGTCACAACGCATGCGATATCAGATAAGGGCGGAGGCGGAGGTGTGTGCGAGATCAATATGAAGGTGTATGAGAAGGAAGAAGGTGGTTGTTGCTTAATTAGAGAAAAGAGTAAACACAATCTATTTTTTTTCTTTCAACACCTCCCCTAAGTCTGATTGAATCAGAGTCTTGTTGACCCATTCAGGGGTGGAAAAGTAATGAACCAAACGCTTTTAAATCTGACTGATTTAAAAGCAGCCTTCTAATGGAATCATTAAGAGGCTTACCAAAGAGCCCCTTAGTAAAGGGACGTGGTAAGATCACTATTGTTTGTCACACGGATTTAATATGCTTATGATTTGATTTTAGAAGGAGATGCATACTTTGTTTAAATCTCAAACACGATGCAATTTTTTGTGGCGTGCATTGTGAGTTGAAATCTTTGAAAGAGAGTATGGATTTATATGGTGGGAAAAGTTGCATGGTTGCAAGGAGTGCAGAAAAATGACAAGATAGTGAATGGTAACCACGTGTGAAAGTAATTCAAATTGGATGGTCTTTCGAGCTCAATTTAGTTCCCTTTGTGAAAAAAGTAACATATGATGATTCTGAAGAGAATCATTTAAAAAAAAAAGGAAGAAAATATTCTATCCAATACGGACTATGAAACAAAATTCTTGAACATAAAAAGATATTCGAATGCAAGTGGATGTGGGTGAAACGATAAAGATAAACCAGTTGCCTCACGACCTGGCTACACCTTTCTTTCTTCTTTTTATTGGACGGTATTAAATATTTAAATGTTCATAGATTATGGTCGAGCTTTCTATAGAATTTATTTATTTAATTATACTTTTATATAGAATATACTAAAGATTGTGCTAGGAGTTAGACATGCGTACATCTAGAATGGAAGTGAATTTATTGATTATCAGATAAAGCAATTAAGGTAGTGATGAAATCATGAGCTCTTTTTATCTTCTCCTTTCATTCTTTAAGACAATCGCATTACGTGCTTTTCGGATCATCCAAAGCAAAGTATAAGGTAATGTTTGTTTTTTAAGAGATAAAATGTCCACAATTTGCCGACCATATTAGGGCCCGTTTGTTTACTTCTTAATTGAAAAATTAAGAGGTAACCTCTTAAAAATTCAGATTTGGTATTTTTGGTAACCTCTTATTTTCTACCTCTGAATTTATTAAATGACTCTTAAAGGCGCGTCTGAAAAAAAAAAAAAAAAGACACAGATATCCTAGCCCTAGTTGTCTCGCTTTTTCTATTCTTCTCAACACCTCGCCTCCTCCGACCTCTCTCATCGACGCACAGCAGCGATATCACCTCCAGCTGCGTGTTCCCTCCCCGCCATAACAGTCGACGGCGTCTTCTTCTTCGGCGACAGCTCCGACGCAGCGCCACAGCACTCCGACTCCACCTCAACAGCAGCGATTTCTGCAGCTCCACCTCCGACAGCAACGATTTCTGCAGGTAAACCCCTCCATTACTTTCTTCTAAAATCGATGTTGAAATCATTACAAGTTCTCATCAGTTTTCTTCTCAAACAACTTATGAAATCAGTTTTTATAGAGAGCTTATTGTGAAATCGGGAATTAAGTTGTTGCTGAAATTAAATGCTATTTTTTTTTTTCCTGAAATCAAACTTGGTGGAATCTGAAATCAAATTCTTGATATGGTGAAATCTAGAATATAATGTTATAATGTTATGAAAATCTGAAATCAAACTCTTGATATGGTGAAATCTGGAATATGATGTTATAATGTTATGAAAGATGATGCTGTGCAAAATTTTGCTATGAAATCTGGTTCTATGAAATCTTATATTAAATGAAATATGTTGTCAAATGTTGATGAATTGTGCTCTTTTTTGTTGAAATTGTTGCTAAATTATGCATTTTTTTGTTGAATTTGTTGCTGAAAATATGCCTTTGTGTTGCTTAAATTGTGGCTGAAAATATGCAATTGCAATGCTTAAATTGTTGCTAAAACATGCATTTGTTTGTTGAATTGATCAAAGAAATGGAAGAAAAGAAGGATATAATTAGTTGGAAGGTTGAAGGTGTAGAGAAAACGTTTCTAGAAACTTGTTTACATGATGTTACAATCAATGGACGGGAAGGGAGTAGTTTGAAAGCACTATCTTGGAAGCGTTATTTATGACGTTCGAGGAGAACAATGGTCAAGCACAAGAGGGAGAGAATGATGGCCAAAACGTACACGATATGGAATGGGGTTCACAAGGCAATGAATACATGGATAATTTGTGCGACCAGATTGTGAATCAATTGGGGTCAAATTAAATTTGTAGGATTTTATTTGGATTTTAATATGATTTTGTGGATTTAAAAATATTTATGTTTGATTTGGGTTTGTGTTTAATTTTGATTTATGCTAAATTTGGATTTTATATGGTGTTTATATATATTTTTTATACTTATTTAAGAAATTTATTAGGTTATTTTCTAAACAAACACTTGAATTCAATAAAAAAAATAAAACAGGAGGGTAAAATGGTCATTTTAATAATTCAGCACAGCAATTCAGAAGTCCCAACCAAACAGCATGTTAAACATTCAGCTCTTAAAATTCCAGACCCTCTTAGAAATTCAGATCTCTTAAAAATTCAGATCTTAAAAATTCAGATGCTGCCAAACAGCCTCTTAGTTTGTTAAAATAAACTGAAATATAATTCATACAACCACAACAAATAAATATTAAAATAATTTATTCCATATAATTCAAAACTACACATTAGGTTGCTTGTATCGAGTAAACTCATCGTTCAAACTTTTTTTCCTTATAAAATTATGAAGCGCGAAACATATAATGGTAATATTCCTTTGTGTAACTTATATTAATAAACTACACCATGCAATTTTCAATAATCACTCATTTTACACAAAACTAACCTTCAAAAATTAATAAAAATTGCTACAGTTTTTACAACCACAAAACAAACCAAAGCTGATACAAAAAACCAACTCTAAATAAAAACTAAATTCTCCTTTTCTCTAATGCAAAAAATCATTGGGAGATATAATATATAGCTATTTAAACAACAAAAAAAAATTATGTAAACATAGTGAGAAGATTAATAGTGCACCTTCTTCAAGATCGACTTCCTGGATAGAAATAATCAACACTGTTTTCCTTAACCCTGTAATGAAAATTACGGATCTTGCCCTTCATCCTCCCTAATCCCTCACAACCTCCCTTGTTCAATACTGTCAACTGCACAATGCCAACACAATTTCTTTTTGGCTTAACCCATTAAGTCAAAAAAAAAACAGACATATGTAGCTCTACATATTAAGTAAATAAACAGACTTTATTATGTATACAACACTTTACCTGGCCATGAATATCTGCTGCCAAACCAGTAACCAAAGGCTCTGCCTTTAGAGTGATGTCAGCAAGGTACTCCATTTGTATAGGAAGGGTAAATTCGTCTCCATTTGAATATATGTCCTCATGAATAACTGTGATTATTGTACAACCCTATGGAAACAAAAACAAATTATTTATTATTATTAAACAATTCAGATTCAAAAAAGAACACTAGAAGGAAGAAATGTTGAGATGGTGTCTTACAAACTGTGTTGTTAATGTATGGCAGTAATGCATAAAATTTAGAACATCTTTTGTAGAACCATTTGCAGCCACTTCTAGAAGGGATATGTCATCGATTATAATTGTAATGTTTTTGTTTATTGAATTGGCTTCCACAGCTTTATGAATATTTCCATACAAAGCAATTAATCCACCTTCAACCCCCTCATCATCTGCTCATTCAAATGATAAATAAAGTTAAGAAAAAGGTTACACATAAAAGTAAATTACGAAATTTTTTAACAGATTAGCATACAAAAAAGGGAATTTTAAGTAATATTCTGACCTGGACACTCCAGCATAAGCATGTCAAAGAATATCAATCTTTTATTCTCCCTTTGCACAGCTAAGTTGCAACCCTGTTAAAATATTTAATGATTTGCAGATTAAGATCTTTCATAACTTCTAACAGATAACAGATACACAATAAAGCACTGCAAAATTGTTTCAGAAGGATGTAGTCAAATTGATCGTTTGATATACATAATACAATTCTCTAGGTGATAGCAAAACTATACTCTCTTTTCTTAAATTGAAGAAGCTGTTAACTTTGGGTATCAAAACTACTACTGTTTGTTTTTTCACATCCAAATATGATAAAGCTACAAAATCTAACAAGTAACAACAAAGTTATGTTTGTAAGATCTATCATATATTTCACTGCTGTATCCAATTTTTCATTCGAAATTTTCAATTCATATCCCCATTTCCATTTGACCAGAAAGGTTCAAAATTGATTCAGCATATGGGGAAGAGGGGAGTGATAACTCGAACGACACGTATAGAAAGCCAAAGATCAAACTTGTGGTGATTCAAACGTAAATGCATTAGCACCACCCATTAATCACGACAAATGATTGATTGCATTTTGACGTTTTATCTATCTGTCGAAAGTAGAAACTACAGAACAAAATAGTCACACACCAGGACACCACTTTTTAATAAAGAGATAGATATAGCGAGAGAGGGGATGTACCATCTTACGAAGGATACGGTCGTAGTGAGAAAAAGGTTGAGCGAATGCTACAATAATGACGACACTGTCGGAGGATGAATGCTTAGGAGAGAGAAACCGTTTTATTAGGTGGTGTAGCACGAACGCGCCGCTAGTTTCGACGCAATCCTCCACTAGAACCACGCGTCCGACCCGTCGCTGCCGGCTATTCGATTCTCCGTCGTCGAAACCTAGAGCTTCGTCCAGCAAACTCACCGGCCGATTCATTTTTTTCCGATCAGACTTACGGTGACGGGGTTTAATTAGGGTTTGTAAAAGATGACCGGAATCCAATAGGGAAATAGTGATTATAGCTCGATATTAAATGCACGTGCTTTTCATGTGATCTTTCAAATATTTCTAGTTTGCCCCCTCAATTATGAAAAAAAAGGACTTAACGTAGGGATGAACTTTTTAACCGAAAAAACAAACTTGTTATGTGGTTTATACTTTGCTTTTCATAAGCTATTAGAGTTCTCGGTCTAGGACCGAAAACACCATGTTTTGGTGTTGTTTGGGCCAAAATTACATGTGATTTTGGTTAGAGTCTATATTGTTTTGTTTGGGTTTGGGGCTTAGGCTTTGTTATTAGGTCTAGGTATAAATAATGTTATTTTAGCCTAGATAGGAGTGAGGGACGTTCTAGGGGGTTGCCATAAGCCAAGAACGAGATCTAGAGAGAAACATAGAGAAAACCGTGTGTAATCGGAATTTTATGTACCGGAATATTAATCAATATATCGTGTGCATTGAAGATTCATCATCATCATCATCATCATCTTCTTCTTCTTCTTCTTCTTCTTCTTCTATATTCTATCTTGCATCATCCACTTAATTGGGATTTCGCACCATCAAGTGGATCTGATTGATACATCAAAGCGAATTAGGGAGTTACAAGTGGTATCAGAGCTTGGATCGGTATCAATCGGGTCATTGCAAACGGTTTTTCTTAGAGTTTCTTGGTGTTTTTGATTTATATTTTATGAATTTTTGGCCATTGTTCTTCATGTTCTTCATATTTTTGGAGTTTTGATCGAGTTTGGCATTAAAATATGAAAATCCCGTGTTTTTGGCAAGTTTTGGGCATTTTAGGTCAATATTTGTGAGATCTAGGCGGCAACCCTGGCATTCGGTCAAACCCTAGGAGGTTCTCGGCGGCCAGCAGCAAATTTCGGAGCTCAGCAGCGTTTGAGGTCGGATTCGCAGGATTTTGGTCAGCAGCGAACATTTCCGGTCAGCAGCGAGGGTTCTCGGTCCGAAGCTGCAGAGGTTTTCGGTGCGACGATCTAGGACTCACAAATTTCGGTCCGCTGTTCTCGCTTCGCTGTTTTAGGTCTGCAGGTTCACGGTCTTCGCTTCTCGGTCTCGCGATTTCGGTCTTTAGCAGGGTTCTCGGTGCGAGACTTCTCGGCCAACATTAGAAGCCTCGCAAATTTCGGCTACAATTTCGGATTTTCAAGATTTTGGCTATTTTGACTTTCAAATTTGATTTTTGATTTTCTAATTTGTTTTTTTGACTTTCAAATTTGACTTTTGACTTTCAAGTTTGACCTTTGACTTTCAATTTTGACTTTTAAGTTTGACTTTTACATTTGACTTTCAAGTTTGACTTTTCAAGTTTGACTTATCAAGTTTGACCTTCAAGCTTGACTTTCAAGGTTTCAGATCAAAGGCATTTTTCTTGGTTTCACAATCAATTTTATTTTTGGTGAAAAAAAATTAATAATGAGTTCATCAATCACAAAAAGAGGTCAATGAAACCTCCTGTTCTCAAGCCTGTAGTGATACAATTAAACTTTTTTGTGATCAAATTGATATATTACGTAGAGACAATGCGGACCTTAGGTATGAAGGATACACTCTCAGGAAGGGCCAAAAACCTTTAAAAAATCAATTAGAGGCCAAAAACCAATGACTTTAGAAAACTTCAAGAAGAATACAACACAAAGTGTGTACGTTATGATTATGCTCAACAAAAAGTTGTCGAATTAACTGCCGAACTTGATGCATTAAAAGCTAAATATAAAGATGCTGAATTTAAATTTAAGAAATTTGACGTGTCAAGTGAGATAGTTGTGTCCATGATTGAAAAACAATTAAAATTTAAAGATAATCAGAATAAGGGTCTAGGGTATCACAGTGTTCCACCACCCTTCAATGACAACTATATCCCGCCCCTTGAAACCAATGAGGTAGAGATACCTGCTCAGTATGGCCAGCCCCCTGTACCAGCTTTAGTTAAGACTGAACAATCTGGCCCAACTAAGAATATTGAGGTGAATGATACTAATGTTTCTACCTCATGTGCAGAGCAGGTCCTAGTGCAAGATGGGCATGAGCAGAACACAAATAATTCTTGTTTTGCTGATAATGATTCAAAAGCCCGTGTTGAGGCGAACGATTATAATGCTTCTACTTCATGTGCAGATAAAGAAGCAGTGCATAATGGGACCGAGCAAAACAAAATCAATTCTAGTTCTGCTGAAACGGTTTCCCAACCACAAAAATCTTTCAAGCAGTCTAACAAATGTTTTTGTGCTTGTGCTTGTGCTTGTGCTTGTGGAAGTTCTTCGAAACGAACTTCTGTTGGACAAGGACCAAGTCACAATCTGATTTATATGAAAAGACAGACTTGCTTTAATTGTGGGATTCCCGATCACATTGCCAGAAATTGCCCACATCGTATATATGTTCCTTACTATGCACAAGGTTGGCCGAACGTGCCAAGAGGGAGATCTTACAAAAGAAACCATTCGAGGTCACGTTCACACAATGGTGACTGGAATGCTAAGAAGGGCAGGAATCAAACTCCCAAGGAGAAGAAGGGAGCGTCTGACAAGAAGCCAAATTCAAGAGATGGTTCTGTTAGACAAAGATCAGTTAGTTCGAAGTCATCTCGGCGATCAGTTTCAAGTTCTAAAGCAAGTGCTGAGGCATCCATCCGATCAAACAATAAATGGGTTAAACCCGACTACAGATTAGGCCTGGCAATTGGGTTGGGGGGTCACGGGTTGGCGTGTTGGCGGGTCAGAAAACATAAACTCAACCCAACCCATATAATATACGGGTTGACGGACTGGCGGGTTGGAAACCTCAACCCAACCCAACCCATATAACCCGTTTAAGTATATGGGTTCACGGGTTCACAAGTTAATGGGTCAAACCCAACCCATATAACTCGTTTAATAAATAAACAACACATTTTAAAAAATGAAGTTTTTTCAACACAAATTCATAAAATGATTAAAGTAATTAACATAAAAAAAGGGTTTTAACATAAATTCATAAAGTCAATAACATCCAAATAAAAATGAATAAATGAAAACATTCATAGAAAGCGGATGTGTTATTCGTTCGTGACTCATGAAAATAACGACATGTATGTTTTCTTTTTTTGATTAACGAACTGCAAATGCAGATTAGTCACATACGAATACGGAAGGAATACAATGATACAGAATATTATGAATACGGATGGAAATCAAATTTCATTAATAATTAAATATACCATTTTTTTTAAATGTAATATATATATATATATATATATATATATATATATATATATATATATGTTGGCGGGTTGACCCGCGAACCCAAACAGATAACCCAACCCAACCCATGAAATAAATGGGTTGGTGAGTTGGCGGGTCAAAAATCTCAACCCAAACCCGTCTATTTTCGGGTTGGGTCAGTATCGGGTTACAGGTTGGGTCGAGAGTTGCCACCCCTACTACAGATGGGTACCGAAGGTTCACTCTCCCAAATCATCTAATGATTCTAACATTTCTTCATCTTTTGTGTCTAATAAATAGGATATGTCATGGGAGAGAGTACCTAGTGTAGATGATAATGGACAACCCAGTTTCAAAATGGATTGGGTTCCAAAGACCAACTAATCCCACACTATGTGTTGGAGCAGCTATGGAGGAATATCATCAGACTTCGGTTTATTGATAGTGGTTGTTCCAAGCACATGATAAGGGACATCTCTCATTTGTACGACATTCAGAATCTTCATTGAGAGTATGTGTCTTTTGCGGGAAAGGAAGAAAGAGGAGGATCACAAATAGGGATTGTACTTAACGATGTGAAGAATTTTTGAATCTGTTCCGAAGTTGAAACACAGCTGAGGCTGAACATGTTGTTGCATCTGTGTGCTGTTCTCAGATCATCTGGATGCAACTTCAATTGTTGAATTACGGTTTGAGTTTTCTTCTCGATACTTTTAAGTTTTTTCATAAAATGATTCGTTTTGAAGACAAACTTTTTGAATTTGCGCATTTATTTTATTTTCTTTCTTCCCATGCCTAAATTAAGGGGGAGAAATCAAAATACAAAAAAAATTATAAAATCAAAAAAATACAAAAATATGTTTTCTTTCGTAAGTATTTTTGGGAAATGATATGAGATTTAGTGATAAATGTCAAGTTAAATTGTCTGACAACTTTGATCCCAAAAGTTATTGTTTTATACATTTTGTATTTTATTTCTGATTTTCTTAAATTTGTTCATATTTTCTTATATTCACAAATTTAGGGGGAGAATTAAATATTAAAAAAAATCATAAATTTAAAAAATACAAAAATATGTTTATTTCTGTTTTATTTCCTTTTCAGAAAATAAAAAAATCCAAAAAAAATATATTTTATTTTTACTTTTGTAGTTATTTCTATTGTATTTTTTTTAATCTCAAAATTTCTTTTGTCTTGAAATGTGAATTCTTAAGAAGAAGAGACTCAAAGAGATTGTATCGAAATTTTCTGAGCAAGGAGAAGAAACTTGGAAAGGAATTGACGGAGGATTCAAATGCGAGTGATAGACTCTTTCATATTGAGACATATACCAGTCTTAATAGGAGTCTTCGGATGAAATGTTAATGATCAAAAGTCATTTTCATCATGACTAATGTGAAACACCCAACCATTCTTCACCCATATCTAAACTTTCTCTATTAAATCACTTCCACGTACCGGTACCCCTTGAGGTTCGAGTATAAAACAACTCGGCTGACGGTTACCAAAAATTATGTGTTTATGATCTTGGTAGTCATTATCACCATGATTCTAAGTAAAACCCAAAATCTGAAATCCATCCATTTCTGAATTGACGGTGAATATTTTAATGTTCTAGATATTTTCACCAATGAAATTGACGGATAATGGTTCATACCTGGTGTGACACTGTACACAATGTCAGTTAGGCAGTTTCTTTCTAAGAACTGTCGTATTTAAGGAATTGGAAGTATGAAACTGTACAGATTGTGTAACATCCCAAATTTTGAGTCCAAAAAATTCATTT